TGCATTCCTCTAAGTAGCAGTGTTGAGCGTCTTTTTGTGTTCCTTTGGCAATCCGTATATCTTCTTTAGAGAAATGTCTGCTTATATCTTCTGTCAGCTTTCTTGTCTCACTGTACTTAATCAAAATTTTAGTTGAAGACCTATGATTATAGAAACTCTTAAAATTTCTTTTATATAACATTGGCTTAGTTCATAAGCAGGGCTTTCCTTACATGGTGTGAAATTGGCTTTTCATCTTTTGCCCATTTTTGTAATTGAATTGTTAATTTTTTTTATATCGAGCTGTACAAGCTATTTGTATATTTCGGAGATTAATCCCTTGTTAGTCACATCATTTGCAAATATTTTCTTCCATTCTGTAGATTGTCTTTTTGTTTTGTTTATGGTTCCCTTTGCTGTACAAAAGCTTTTGACTTTAATTAGGTACCATTTGTTTATTTTTGTTTTTATTTCCATTACTCTAAGAGACAGATCCAAAAAGATTGATTTATGTCAAAGAGTGTTCTGCCGATGTTTTCTTGTGGGAGTTTTTTTTTTTTTTAAATGTAATGCTTTTCAGATATACCTGCTCTAGTATCTCTGTTACTAAAACAGAGTAAAACAAAACATTATCTACTTCCATCCTATATCTCATTCCATCTGTTGTTGTTGTGCTTGGTCGCTCAGTTGCCTGAATCTTTGCGATCCTGTGAACTGTAGCCTGCCAGGCTCCTCTGTCCATGGGATTTTCCAGGCTACTACCTATTTATATCTCTTGCTAAGTGTTGTGTGTGCTTATTTCCTGTCTTCATGCTCTCTTAAACGCACAATAATGAGCCTTTCTGCCACCATTCCATGTAAACAGTTCTTATCCAGGTGATCAGTGACCTCCCAGTTACCACACCAAGTTGTTATTCTCCATTTATCACTTACCCGATCAGCAACATTGGACACATTTGGTTACCTTCTAAGTTATTTCCTAGAACACTTTTGTTTACCTTCTAAATTACTGCACCTCTTCTGTTTTCCTCCTCCCTCATGGCTGCTCCCTCTCATGCCTTTTGCTGCATTCTTGCTAGCTTTGTTTGGCAATAAATTGAATACAAAAGTTTAGGATGAATAGTGACCATCTCTCCCTGCCACCCTCAAAACCCATATCCCTTCTCACTAATAAAAAATATAAACAGACTTCATTTGTGTGTGCATGTTTGTGTAAATTCTATGGTGGGAACAGTGCTTCATTTTAAATTACAATTATTTGCTTATTAATGAATCATATTTTCTGTGCACCTTCTGTTTATATTATTTGCTCACTTTTTCTATAGTGTTTTACTGGTTTTACTGATGAAGTGTATAAGTTAAAATCATTAACTGTTGTGTATTGTGAATTTTTTTCCTACTTTATCAGATGCCATTTGACTTTGCGGCATTTTTGAAGTACAGAGTTCTAATTTTTTGCTATAATCAGCTTTAATAGTTTTTTTCCTTTATGGTTCCTGGCCTCTAGGTGCTGCTTACCTTCTCCACTGAATCATAAATAATTTCACTTGAGTTTTCTTTGGTCCTGCTTCAAAGCTTCCTTTTTTTACTTTTAAATCTTTGATCCTTCTGGAATTTATTCAGTGTATGAAATGAAGAGGTGTACATCCTATTTATTTTTCTAACTGACTAACTGATTGTCCCCCAATCATTTAATCATCTCTATTTCTCTTACTTGTTTGAAGACCACCTTCACTGTAGAGTAATTCCCTGGTGTATTTGAATTACTCCCAAGTTATTAAAAATGTATTTATTTCTGTTTTATTTTTCAAACCACTGCAGTGTGACACTCATATGGAACTACTCTTGAAAAGAGATCATCATGGACTTTATAGCTGTCAAATCATTTAGCTGTATATTACTTTGGGCAGAAAGTGAAACAGTTGAATACTCTCCGACCACTCTTCTTCTAAACTATCCTTCTTTTCACATTTCTCTTAGTTTCCCTCCTACCTATTGTCTCATTTCTTTGCTAGGTGGTCTTCCTCTGTTTCTTGCATAAAAGTGTTCATTGGATTTGCACTTTTCTCCTAGCTTGAGTAATATTTCCCTGTCTCATCCCTTGAGCTAAATATTAACTGGCTAAATATTCCTGTGTTTTCATTTCTACTTCCAACCTAAATCTAGAACTATATTTCCAATTTTCTATTAGATACTATATGATGTGCTCTGGGTTATTTCAGTATGTCTATACAAACCATTGTTGTCCTTGTTTTTTATGTTTTTCTTTCTTTCTATACCCTACCTCACTTGATATCTTCACCATTTCTTCCTGTTACTTAGATTTTGTCTTTGATATGTCTCCTTATCCCTTTAAAATCTGTCAGTAATCTGTCACAGGTCCTAGTTCTTCCTGCCTATTCTCATAGTCCTTGTCTGTGCTTTCATTTCGTGCCTTGATTTTGAAAGTAGTTTCTTACCAGTCTCCATATTTCTGGTCCCTCTGTCTCTGATCCAGCCCCACATTACAGGCAGTGTTAACTTTCTACTACATATATTTGACCATGGTTAAAAACAGTTGGTTTTATTTATATCATGTATAAGTTGTTCACATGCACTTACTTCCTCTTTCTTCCTAACTCCATTAAAATGAGAGTAAAGAAATGGAAAAATTCAAAAGGACAAAGAGAACAGGAGTGGAAACACTGACAGATGTGAGGTTGGAACTATTTTATTTTATTTTTTTTTACTTTTAGCAAAGAAAGTTACAACTCCAATATCTTCCCCTACATGAACTTTTGAGAGAAACCAACTCATTCTTCCCATAGAATTCCTAGTATTTCAAGACTTGGAGGCGCCTGGTCTGCAGAAGGCAGGAATGAGTCATGAGATTGAAAACACAGGCTGTTCCTTGAAAGTCTTTAAAATAAGTGGCTAAAGTCCCCTGTACCCCCTCTCTGCTCCTCTGGAGACCAGAGGGTTATTATCTGGAGAATTTGACAGGAGAGCCCCAATCTCAGAGATCCAGGTGCAGCAAGTGGATTGCTTAAAGCAAACTTTTGGACTCTGTGGGAGAAGGCAAGGGTGGGATGTTTTGAGAGAACAGCATTGAAACATGTATATTATCAAGGGTGAAACAGATCACCAGCCCAGGTTGGATGCATGAGACAAGTGCTCGGCACTGGTGCACTGGGAAGACCTAGAGGGATGGAGTGGGGAGGGAGGTGGGAGGGGGGATCGGGATGGGGAATACGTGTAAATCCATGGCTGATTCATGTCAATATATGGCAAAAACCACTACAATATTGTAATTAGCCTCCAACTAATAAAAATAAATTGGAAAAAAAATTAAATAAAAAATAAAAAAATAAATCTCAAGCAGAAAGCTTAAAAAAAAAAAAACAATGGGATTACATGAAAGTTCGCATACCTCATTTGGGGACCTCTGTGTTCTACTCTAGATGTAATTGGTAAGATGTTTCATGAGTTATTTTCACATTCCCGGATTCCTAATGGTGATCTAGATATAATAGGTTTTCTTTTGGCACATCCTGTAAAAAATCAAGTAGCCTAATAAGCAAAATGAAAAATTTCTCAATGTCTCAAAACTAACTGGTTTAACATTTTTAGAAAAGGTAAGTCAAAAGTCAGTTGATTTTGAGATGCTTAAAATATTTTGTTTAGGCTACTCAGTTTCTTGTAATAACAAGATTATAAGCAGAAAAATGTGATTGTGCAAATAAGTGTAAATGCTGTGTTTTCATTTGATTTGTTTCTTTTTTAGAGTTTTGAAGACCCAAGAAACAGAGTATAGTTGACCCTTATACAACACAGCGCTTAGGAGCACCAGCCCTCAAGCAGTTGAAAATTCTCGTATTGCTATCTCTGTCTCAAAAAAATAAAAGAATTGATAAATTGTGCACCCATGGATGGGAAGTTGAAACAGTTTGGGTAGAATCAGGACTCAAACCCTAGTTCTTTTGATTCCATATTGTGATCTGTAATCAAACACAAACATTTCCCCACACTTAGTTAATTTAAAGATCTATACAATAAAAATGTGTGTACTATATTTATTGAAAAAAGTCCACATGTAAGTGGGCCTGCATATTTCAAACCTGTGTTGTTCAGGGATCAACTATACTTTTTTCTCTTCTGCTGTTTTTGCTTTTGTCCCTAAATTAAGGGACAGGAAGAAGGCAGGGAACAATTTTCCCCTCTAGCTTCATTATTTTAGGTTTTCACATAGTTTTGTAACAAGCATAATTATATGAACAAACTAAATTGGATACTGTACATTTTTACCTTCCCAATGCAATAAATTGATTTTATTAACAAGAAACATTTATGTAAAATATACACGTTTGCTTCCCGATATATTTGAAATTAATAGAACGCATTAAATGCATTCTTTATCGCCAATGCAAAGCATCCAGACTACTAAAAACATATAGTTACTACCACCCCACCTGCTCTTTCCCATGAAAGCAACATTCTTACCTCCATTACCTATTTTATATCCTTAAAATTTAAAAGTCTTTAAAGCATCTCTCTATGCTTACTTTTAAGCAATCACTTGGAAAATTATGGGCCCTCCATGTGGTCCCCACAGGCCTCAAGGCCCCCTGGTAACTTGGGATTCAACGCCATCTCTGAATCTGCTTGTCAAATGTTTGCCTCAGCTCTTTGCTTCTAGATTCTGTGTCTCACCCAGCATCACACAGACTCCCCCAGGTCTTCTGACTCTCTCATTTAATCCAACTTCCTGTTTACATGGCGGTTTTTCTATAGTTAATTGTTGGCTAATGATTTCAAATGAAATTAGCCAGTACTCTTTTAATGATTCAGTACTGAATTTTGTAGGTATTTTGACTATTGCAGATTCAGTTTCTTAATTTTCATAAGCTGTAATATGGACACTAGGTACATGGATATACATTTTGCCTATCACAAAGTATGTAAAATATTACAAAGGTAGCATAATGTGAAAATTCAAGTATTGATTTTCATAGTAAATATTGACTTCTTTTCCTCCTGCACAGGTCATTATCCAACTTTTAGAGGTGATGGATCATCTGCATAGAGGGGAATCAATTGCTGCAATACTCCGTAACCGGTATATTTATGGAAGCAGTTTACCTTATAAGTTATATAATGTCTCTTCCATTTATTTATTTACCTAACATAAGTCAGTCCTCAGTAAATATTTGTTGAGTACCTGTTATAAAATTAAAATATTTGCTATATGAGTAAATAGAAGAATGCCTGAGTGACAAAGAAATGGAATAAAGCGAATGTTAATGATTGTATTCTGAGCTAATGAAAAAATAGAAAATATAACTAGAAATCAAAATTGGTGGACATTGTGAACACCTGGAATTCAGTCAATGGAGCTATTGATGTGAATTTTTGGTTTTAAAGCATATCGATGAATAAATAGGGCTTCCCTGGTAGCTCAGCTGCTAAAGAATTCTCTTGCAATGCAGGAGACCTCGGTTCTATTCCAGAGTCGGGAAGGTCCACTGGGGAAGGGATAGGCTACCCACTCCAGTATTCCTGGCCTTCCCTGGTGACTCAGATGGTAAAGAATCCTCCTGAAATGTGGGAGACCTGGGTTTGATCCCTGGGTTGGGAAGATCCCCCGGAGGAGGGCATAGCAACGCACTCTAGTATTATGGCCTGGAGAATGGAATTCAGTCAGTGGAGCTGTTGATATGAATTTTTTGTTTTAAAGTATATAAGTGAATAAATACTGGTATCCATTGCTTACAAATAGATGTCTCAACAAAGTATTTTTTAAAAATAGTATTGCCTGTGATTGTGTGTACATTGTTGTTATTGAAATTCCAGTTAAAACTTTTTCAGGGACTTATGAGAAATTCAGAGCTGCTTCTGTCAATTTAGGATTTTAAACTTGTGGTTTAAAGAAATATGGCAAAAAAAGAAAGAAAGAAATATGGCCTTTACTTTGTAGGTGTGAAAGAGTATCTCTTATTCTCAGTATTTTAATTGTACAGCTCTGGTGAAATATTTGAAGTAATACGCTGAAGTTGTCTATATCATGGTTCTGACAGTTACTCGTGAAGCCTTGGTTAAGTTTTTTAGTTGCTCTGTACCTTAACTTCCTCATCTATGAATTGAGTGCAATAATAATACCTATATCTCAAAGTAATTTTGTGAATTAAATAAATGTCTACTGTGTGTGTGTGTGTGTGTGTGCACGTGCATGCATGTGTGTGGAGAGCAGGAGCTTGGCAAATAATTCAAAGTATAACAGTGCTTGTATTGAAATACAAATGTAGGATTTTAACTATTTCAAAAATACAATATTTTTGTTACTCAGTTCTGAAGTACTTTAAAAATAGCTTCCCTGGTGGCTCACAGGGTAAAGCGTCTGCCTGCAATGCAGGAGACCTGGGTTTGATCTCTGGGTTGGGAAGTTCTCCTGGAGAAGGAAATGGCAACCCACTCTAGTATTCTTGCCTGGAGAATCCCATGGACAGAGGAGCCTGGCAGGCTGCAGTCCATGGGGTCACGGACACGACTGAGAGACTTCACTCACTCACTCACTCATTAAAAGACTATGGAAGGAGGGGAAAGGTTGAAGTATGAAGGAGACATATATAAAATCATTGTTATTTGAAAGATACCATGCTAGGAATTTTGCATAGTATTCCCATCAAAGGAAAATCATATGAAGAGTACATGCTTGTTGGAATGTGGGCAAGGGGCTGTAACGTAGACTTATTCAGAGATACTGGACACAAGGAAGTCATTGCAGGAATACTGCGTGGCCACATAGAAGAGAAGAGTAGATTGCAGGGGTAGATTTCTAGTGGGGAATTGAGACTGCAGAGTTCATGTGCTGCTTAAGCCGGGGGTCTGTATCACACATTTGGAAGAGGAACTAGTAGGAGGGCAGTATTTCCTAAGCTCAAGTTGATAACTGAGGTAGTTATAGCACAATTGAATTTGTTTCCATTATTATTATTGAGATATAATTACATATAGTAAAATACACAAACATTTAAATACTTTGCACAAACATATAAATATATTAAATACATTTAAATATATATAAACATTTAAATATATTAAATATATACATTTAAATATACATCTGGATTTATTTTTATACATGTAAGCATCCAGGTAACCACGACCGAGGTCAAGATATAAAACCGCTCCATCGTTCCAGAGAACTCCCTTGTTCCCCGCTCCAGTTCGTGTCTCCTCCCCTCCTACAGACTTGTGTATCTTGGGTTCGTGGTGCTTGTTCTTGAACTTCATGTAAATGTAGTCTAACACTGTGTATTATTTTGTGTATGGCTTCTGTTGTTCAAAATAATGTTTTTGAAATCCATCATTATTGCAGGTATCAATAATTCCTTCTTTTTATTGCTCTGTAGTAGTCCCTTATTTAAATATACCACAATTTATCCATTTCTTGTTGAGAGTCATTTAAGTTATAGTCATTATTTGGCTATTATGAATTAAGCTGTTGTTGACATTTTTAGCAAATCTTTTTGTGGCCATATATACTCATTTCCTTTGGCTATATACCTAGAAATAGAATTGGTGGGTCATATGTGTATATATATTTATTTTATTTATTTGACATTATTAGAAACTGCCAAACACCTTTAAAGAAGTTATACCAGTTTCTTCTCAGACCAATAAAAAGTGAGAATCTTTACAAACTCTTGGTGTTTAATTTTAGTTATTCTCTTGGGTATATAATTGTTTCCCACTGTGGTTTTCACTTTGCATTTTCCTCATGTGGAATGATGTGAGTTTGTTTTTGTATGTTTGTTAGCTATTTGTCTATCTTTTAGAAGTATCCAGATCTTTTGCCCATTTAAAAATTGATTTTTTTCACTTTGAGTTTTTAAGAGTTTTTAAATTTTTTCTTGATATTTAGATAGATGTATTATGAATATTTTCTTCCAATCTGTAGCTTCCATCCCATTTCTTGTTAGTGTCTTTTGGTGAGCAGTTTTATTTTGTTTCATTTTTATGAAGTTCAACTTGTCACTTTTTCTTTATGCTCAGTAACTTTTGCATCTTTCTAAAAATCTTTACCCTCCCAAATCTCAGGCTTTCTCCCTGATGTTTTAGCCCCTGCATTGTAAGTGCATTCTTGACCATAAACTTAAATAAATGAACTTATGACATGTTTGTGTACACAAATTGTAGACCAGTTTCATATTCTAAATAAAAAAGAAATCAGACACATTTAGGAATGTATGAGAAGTATTAACCCTTTGTGACTCAGTTCAGTTCAGTCACTCAGTCGTGTCCGACTCTTTGTGACCTCATGAATCGCAGCACACCAGGCCTCCCTGTCCATCACCAACTCCTGGAGTCTACCCAAACCCATGTCCATCGAGTTGATGATGCCATCCAGCCATCTCATCCTCTTTCATCCCCTTCTCCTCCTGCCCCCAATCCTTCCCAGCATTAGGGTCTTTTCCAATGAGTCAACTGTTCGCATGAGGTGGTCAAAGTATTGGAGTTTCAGCTTCAACATCAGTCCTTCCAATGAACACCCAGGACTGATCTTCTTTAGGACGGACTGGTTGGATCTTCTTGTAGTCCAAGGGACTCTCAAGAGTCTTCTCCAACACCACAGTTCAAAAGCATCAATTCTTCAGC